TGCTGAGGGGGGACAGGCTGCTCTCCGGAGGGACGCGCCGGGCCTCGGAAATACTATTATTATCCCGGGTGGCGCGTTGATGGCTGTGAGTGCGCTGCGCTCGCATCTGGGGGCTGGTACGTGTTGGCTTCAGGGGGAGCTCTGCAGCGGCCGGGATCACCCCAGAAATCCTGCTCGCAGGGTCTAGGGTGGGAAGGAAAAAAGGGATGTGGGTCTTTCAAAATGCCGAGGGCACTATGTAAATTTGGGTGTATCTGCTTCCGCTGAAAGTTTTCAACGCCAGATACATATAACGAAAACAAGGAGAATCTGAATTTGGGGGGTGGGAGGGTCGCCTCGCAATGTTGCACCTTTAAACAATATGATGAGTGTCTTGATGGTGTTGATTGAAACTATCAACAGCCCTAGTCCAGTTGTTTAAGTCAATCTTCAAACCGCTTTTTGGTTTATCTGATGTCTAGAGTCTAAAAATTGAGAAGCTTAATCGATTCTGTTTTTTATTTCCCAGGAATCACCAAAAGCAGGGAAAAGTGGGAAAAGTTCCAAAGAAGGACAAGATATAGAATCAGAGGTAACTGTTCTCAAATACTTTACTTTTTCTCATGAATACCTTATAATTTAGGATTGAAAAACTGAGGGTGGTAAAACCCAGGGTCTCCTAAAACGGATGAGGTTTTTTTCTAGTGTCTTTTATAACCCTCAGTTTTAGTTATTTAGGCTCTTCTTATTTGGCCTTGGGGAAATAAGAATGTTTTTATGAAAGTTGTGCATGTCTGTATTTTTAAGGTCATCTGCCCCACCTCAAACCGAGCAGCGCCCTGCAGAGACTGGTTTCATGGGCTCCCTTGGCTGTAGCTGCCCGGGTCCTCTGGCTCCTGGTCCTTCCCCTTGCTTTCTTTGCAAGCAGCAGGGTCCCTCCCTCAGGGGCTCATTCTCCTTCCACCAGGCTGGCTTTCCTATCTGCAGCCTTCGCTGCTGGCATCCTGCACTAGTAGCCCCTTTTCTCTGTTGCTGTCTGATTCCCTTAGCCTCTTTCCCCAGTAATGGTGGGATAGTTAAGTCTATCTGGTGTTGGTATTTTTATACCATCTTCCATCATGTTTGTCCCTCTCTCTCTGTTGGCCAGTTCTGACTTCGTTTGCTGCTTGACTTTGTGCCCCTTGAGGAACAGGTGGATACTCAGTGAGGCTGCTGCCTGGTGGGGCTGAGGATGGTCTGCAGTGCGTCTGAGCTTTGAGTGCATCTGCCGAGCCAGCACTTCACTTGACCTTGTCATTCTGTGGAAGTTGTTGAATTAGAGCCCCTTGGGCCAAGGGTCAGGGGCCGGGTGGACCCAGGCAGAGCTGATAGGCCCTGGTGAATTGTTATTAGCAGAGAAGCTGCTTCATTTAGTGTCAAGTCCTCCAGGGCTGGATCTTTGAGTTCCCTGCTCTTATCACAGATGACATTAATTTGCAAGTGTCAGGCCCCTTCCTGTAAACCGCATTAAGAGTTCAGTTCTGTCAGGGAAACACAGTTAACTGCGATTCTCCACAGAAGCCTTTTTTCTTGGTCCCAGGTTATCTTTCCCTTATCATTTGGCGTGTCCTAAGCCTCCCTCCTCAGCAGGTGGTTTATTCCAACAAATCTGTTGCCCTTCGCAAAGTAAAAAGCAGACATCCAGAGGCTCCTAGGCATCAGTAGCTAGGGATGATTTGTGCCAGTCTCTCCCTGCCCTGTCGTTTCCGCGATCAGGTTTTACCGTGGCATGCTGGCATTTGACTTCTCTCTTCTGTCAGTCTTTAGACTAAATTGACCAAGATGAAATGTAGCAGCTGTGCAAGGTGTGTGCTTTTCCTTTCTTTTTATTGATATTTCACTAAGACTGCTAAGACTTCCCGGTGCTTCCACAAACCTTTCTCGCTCACATAACCTGTTTCTTCTCACTGTTAGTGTTTCAAACGAACGTCAGTGTGTATGGTTCACTTACTCCCATTTTAGCGGAAAGAGCCAGGCTGTAAGGATGGATAATGTTAACCTGAGAAATGTTAATTCAAAGATACTGAAACCACTAATATGTAAAAGACATGCTTGTAAGGTGCATTGGGTTCCTGGAGAGACTGTCAGTTGCGTAAGACTTGCGGAGTGGCCTGCAGTGTCTGAGCGTGATGCCCCTCCTTGTCTTTTTGTATTTTTTTTCTAGTGCTACTAAGAGCTGGAGCTACAGAGCTTGAAATTGCCACTGCAAAGTACTGAAATGTTGGGCCCTTCACTCTTCCTCATAAGGATACCAGAGGCAACATGGCAGATAAAGCCTGACAGTTGGCAGATCGCTGTGTCATTTGCTTTACAGGGATACACGCTGAGGCACTTTGGTTCACCTGAACTTTGGGCTGACCCTTCCTTTTTTATTGCTGCTGTTCTCTCCTCCGTCTTCATCTCACTCAGCACTGCTCGTTCCACCCACTTACCAAATATGATTGACTCATACAGGTGAATTAAACCATTATTGCACACCCTTTTCTCTCCTGTCTCTCAGCGTTACTCTGAACTTGAGTATCTGAACCTGAACAATTTAAATCAGTTTGCTATTCCCATGCTGCTTTTCAACCCTTTTTAGCGTCACGTCACCTTCGCCTCCAGCCCTGGCTCAGGTTCCCCTGTGAACTCATCTCTGTCAGGACAGTTACCACATTCGGGGCTGCAAAGCCCAAGGGGCATGCAGAACAGGTGCCCAACAGGGCAGAGTAGCCAGATTTGGGGAATAATACCAACAGAGAAAAGGGCAAAGCACTTGGCCTACAGTTAGTTGACTTAATACACCACCTCAAGTGTGGGAAAGTCCTTACACTAAAATCCCAGCTGGCTATAACCTAGTGCCACTGAAAACAGAGCACGTGGCTTCCATTGCAGAATGCTTTTTGGTTTTAGAAGAGGGAACATTTCATGGCATGGGTTTTTAGTAAGGAAGGTGAGGTCCTGTGGTAAAGGATAGAGTGGCATAGGGGAAAGTATTTCAGCCAGGGCTTAGATAATAAAAATGCTGACTTAAACAGCATCACCTAACTTCAGGGCCTTGTTTCCTCATCTCTGAAATGACTTGGTGAGTGTCAGATTTGGCCGTTTTTAACTTTATGGGCTAGATTATTGGCAACCCCTCTTGAAAGGAGTAGTCCCTGGAAGATGTATGGCAAAATATATCTTTCAGTGTAACACAATACCACTAAAGTTCGTAACTGCTACTGCCTAACTTTTGCCTTTATCTAGAAATTTCTGCTCCTTAAATGATGTGTATTGGTTTTTTTTTTTCTCTTCTTTCAAAATTAGAAAGTTTAGATTTGATTTGCTTATGCATGTGTGTCCTGGAATTAAAAGTTTCTGCCCAGTACCTACTGCTGGTTTATGTCATAGCACACGTTAAAGGAGTAAGGCCGCAAATGGTCTCCCGGGTAACTCAGAGCTGGAGAACTCTGGCAGCTGACAGGAAGGACACACCTCTGAGCTGTAACATTCGGATCTGTGGACACCTACCAAGGCACGTTTGATGAATATTTAGACTCTTAATAAATTGTTCAGAGATTCTTAAAGTCCATTTTTGGAGGATCAGACCATGCAGTGGTATTTTTTGTAGTAGTTGTTGTTTTAACTTGTGTACTAGGTGCAGAGTCATATTTTAAGAAGGGTTAATGCTTTCCGTAAAATGATTTGCTTCAAGCACATTAAAGGTCATTTGCACGGTGTTTTCCAGTCATGTATTTTATGTATCTTGCTCAGCTTAGTTTTGTTTGAAAGTCTCTACAGCAACTCTTAGATAATATCTGTTGCTGGAAAGAAAACTGAACAATTCTCTCCAACTTGTTAGCTTATTTGGATACCTTCTGCCTTTAGTACTAACTTCTTCCTCTTTATAGTCCCTTGACATTTCCCTACCACCCACCCTGGTGCTGCGGAGCCAGGCAGCTGGCTGAGGCCAATAGGTGTAGGTGGTGGACTCATGTTTTAGATATTAAAACTGAAATTTTAAATATATTTATAAATTCATCTAATAATAACACCTATCACATGTTAACATAAGTAACATTTTGTGAAAAATATCTTTCCAAAAAAAATTGTTTTGACTTCCTAGTCACTTGTCTTGGTAGCAGAAGTTATAACCTGCATGAGTTGGAGGACAGTGAACCTCATTTTGCTGGGATGTATCTTCTAGGGAGGCGGCCACGATACTCACCGCCTGAGCAGAGAGTCCCCAACTCATCTTTCAAACACCAACAGCCACTGTCCATGGGCTGAATTCACTGGGGCCTCGTTTTCCATCATTCTCTTCCCAACTTTCTTCGATAACAGCTCTAAAGTAGACTCCCATGAAACTAAGAGAGGGCCCAAAGGAATCGTGCTTAAATTTTTTTTAATTCATGTGCAGTTATGACATAGGAAATGGAATTCCCTGCTTTGAATTGCCACATCTTGGCACACTCTTCCCCGTCACTCTGCGTCATCTTTGCCCAGAGCCCAGGTGTTGGCGCTCCTCAGCTGCGGGTTGGAGGGCAGTTGAGTTAGGAGGAGGTGCCTTGAGCGTCCTACCCTGAGGGTCATGAGGAAGCAGTTCGTTCATCCCTGAGCTGTTCCCTTTCCAGGGCCCATTCCTGTCCCGTGCGAGCAGCTGGACGCTCAGTGGCCCCCAAGCGCCTCATGTGAGATCGGCTGCTCTCAGCAGGCACTGCACCCTCAGCATGGGCATTGTGCATGGGAGGGCCCACCACATCCCCATGGGGCTGTCCTGGTCCTGTGCACTGTAGGGAGTTCAGTGTCCACCCCTTCCAACTGTGACAACCAAAAGTGTCCTCCAGACATTGCCAAAAAGGCCCCTGTGGGACCACGCTCTAGGAAGACTGCTCCACAAAGTATGTACATGTGCTTACAAATCATGCCTGGCACACGTCTGTCTGGGCATATTTCCTTCCTTTAGGATAGCAGTGCTCCAACAAAGGGGGCATCCGCACCCCTTCACACTCTTTACAGTTGTAGCTGTCTGGTGTTTTTCATATTAGAAGTAAAACTGAAAATTTTTACATGCTCATTAATTCACCTAATAACAGTAACACATATAAACACAGATAGCATGTTTTTATGAGAAATAACTTTACAAAAATTCACTGAGAAAAAAAGCAGTGCTCCGTGTTTTTGCAAATCTCTTCAAGGTCTGGCCTCATGGAGGAGAGCCGGCTTCTCCAGTCTGCTCCTGCATGCACTCTGTTTTGATACCACATGTCTTGTAGCCTGTGAAAAATTGACATAATAATGACTATAAAGGCAAGTCATATCTTAGTATTATCAGAAAACGCAGCAGACCCCAGGAAGGCGTACCATATGGGGGTCCCCAGGCTGCACTTTAAGAGCTGTTGTAGAATACTCTTCTAATCCTCTTTACTGCCTATCTGAATCCTTTTATCTTTTTAGCTCCAACTTAGGTTCATTCATTCTGAAATTTAAGGGAAGCTTTTTCTCATCATTCTGGACCATATTTTTTCCATCTTATAAATTTGAATAGCAGTTATTTGATCTGTCAATTATTTGTCATTCATACTGTCCGGA